CCTTTTTCCAATCAGGATTCTAGCAACTGCTGGGACTGATTTTGACCTGCGGACCCTACGAGCCGTCCGAGTGTTACGACCCCTGAAGCTTGTGTCGGGAATCCCAAGTGAGTGTCATGATAATGTCATCTTCACAGCCAGAGGTGCTCTATAGCGTTTGTGGTGTTACATGCATTTCTGAGCAATATTTTCTTCCCCTGCTTTGTCGCCGTCCGTGGCTCCTGCCCTTGCTAGGTTCTGATTTGAATTTGAATTAATTCTCTGGGAGGTGAAGACCTGAGACCCAAATTTTGCAGCTTTCAGGCCCCCAGCCCTGAGCTTAGATCTGACAGTTTTTACTAGCTGAGCATCTTACACTGGGAACTTTACCCTTTAATAAGGGGGAAAAAAAACCTGAAGGGAAGGAGCAGATAGGACTTGATGGGCAAATTGATACATTTTAAATGCTAACGTGAAGGGTCTGAATGCTCCGGTGAGGAGCTGCGTCATGCCTTGCTGATGCCCCGAAACCATCCAAGTCCCCACGCCGTTGCTTACTGCCTTTTTATTTGTCGCTGTTCACCAGCTGCTCTGCCCGCTAGCAGGGGATCGCTGTCAGGAGTGTATTTCATTTCTGAATGTGGAACAGAGAGGGTTTTTCCCCCCCCCAGCAAGACCCAGTGAAAGGGAACCACTCACTCTGTGGGATGCTCTACTCTTTTCTGCGTTAACCCCTTGGCAGCCCGGCAGCTCCCCCTCCTCCCTGGACATCAGCTCTGCCACCTCCCTGGCAGCCTCGGGACCCAAGTGCTGGTGCTGTAGAGATCCAGCAAGGGGTTATACTTTGCAATAACAGCACCAAAAATTCCTGATATCAGCATCCTTTCATGGGCAGGGCTAGAGTCTGAATTCCCATGCAGAAGAGATCCTTGGCTAGGCTTGGTTCATTAGCAGGATCTCTAACAAAGAGATGCTGCTGGGTCTCTTTCATGGATTTCTTGTTTGTGCGAGGCAGTATGGTGTCGTGGTAGTGATAGTCTGAGGATGTCAGAGAGGTAAGGTTTGGGGAAGTGGTGGTGTTTTTCTTAACTAAGGTAGCTCAGGATGTGCCCTGTGCACCTGAAATTCAGTCTGTTTTCTCCACATATGTCAGTTGTTCCAATAAAAGCTATTGCTTCTGCTGCTGATCGTTATGAGCAAATGGGCCGCAAGTTGGGGAATTTTGAATTAAATTATTGCCAACCAACACAAACTTCTGCTTGCTCATTTGGATATTGAGGAAAAGAACTCAAATATTTAAATGCTCACAAGTAGACCCTTAGTGGGGCAGCAGTCCCTTAGGGGTGTCCTGCTCCCAGGACGCGTGGGTCGCATGTTTTCCCGGGGGAGGATGTGCTCTCCCACCTGGTGACGTGTCCTGGACCAGCACAATATTTTCCCACAGTGCCTCATTTGCTCTCGTGTTTTTAGTGATGCTGTGAAAGCTGAGAGTGCTGTGATTTATTTCCCCATAGTAAATGTCCAACCTCAAGGTGCATTCACACACAAACATGGTATATGCTTTTCTTCTACACTCCTGGTATTTTTCCCTTCCAACACATCTTCATGCTTTTTTTCTCCCTGCACCCGTATCAATCTCTGTACAAGGTGGCAAGACAATGGTGATCCTTCATTCTGCATACCTTTGTACAGGCCACCAAGGTGGCTTTCAGCTGCTGCTTATCGCTGTATTTCTCTTTTTATGCACGTCTGCATGAAGTTATCTGATGTCATCTGACGTCTCCATCTCTCCAGCCTCTCTCGCCTTATCTCCCTTGGTTTTAATTGAAAATGAGTTTTAGTGCGAGTGAAAAAGCTATGGATGGATAGCCCTGAAAATGGGGTTTTGTTTCTCCAGAAGCAGGGTGCGATAGGCACAGCAGCATCGCGGCTTTTCTGTGCATTGCGGAGGGAGAGGCAGTTCCCGCGCAGCTTGGACAGTGGGGTACCACAGCAGTGCCCAGCTCTGCTACTGCATCTGCTCTATCACAGGATCTGCCTTAAGGACCTGGTGCAGGACCAGGCTGAGTCTCAGGACTCCACTGGCTTCAGGCAAAGTCCTTTGTGGATCTCAGAAGCTGGAGAGAGCTTTGGGTCTGTGATCTGAAGAAAAGGGGTCAGAAAAAGATAACTCTCCTGCATTATGGCTGTAGCATCTTTTTCTATCACGCCTTGGGAAAACCAGCATTGCTTGGTGTTGCCAATCCTAAACTCTCCCTTAGACACTCCCTCTCTCCTACCTTGTCCTCACCCCCGAACCCTTATTTTCCTTCCCTCGCTGATTACGTGTTTTTCCTTGTCCCCACAGGCTTGCAGGTTGTCCTCAAGTCCATCATGAAGGCGATGGTGCCCTTGCTTCAGATCGGGCTGCTCCTCTTCTTCGCCATCGTGATGTTTGCCATCATCGGGCTGGAGTTTTACATGGGGAAGTTTCACAAAACCTGCTTCTCTAATGAGACAGGTGAGCTTTGAGCTTTGGTCCCCTCCCAGCTTATGGTCACGATGCTTCTAGTCCCCTTCATCTAATGGGGGTGCTTTCCATCCTGCTCTTCTGTTGCTTTTCCTTTTCCTCTTCCTCATTTATTGCATTCTCTCCCTATTTTCCCACCTAGTCCAAGAATTAACAGACTTTTGTGCTCACCCTACTTGCACCCCTGATGCTACTGGGTTGCTCTCAGTCTACACAAGAGTGAGATGAAGGTGCTTAGGGCCTACTCTTATGGGAGAATTTTTTCACAGTAGAAATACAAAACCAAATTCCTGTTGTTCCGTGGGGATTTTATTGTTATTTTTTTTGATTCATTGGTCTCTGTTTGCATTTTCATTGGGTTTAGCTCTAAATTCAGCTGCTAAATGCTGAGTTTCCTTGCAAGGTTTCTGGAGCAAGTTGTGTGGATATGAGAGAATATTGGTGTAAAATAGTAAGGTTGGAAGGACTGGGAGCAACCAAAAAAAAAAAGGACAAAAAAACCCCAAACAACATGACAATAGATGGAAAGCAAGGAGCTCTTTGATAGTGAAAGGATAAAAATGTCCTTCAAACAGAGCAGGGCAAGGGAAATTGGGCACTGCAGAGTAAATGATGTGTCTGCCTGTGAGTGAGTGATAAACTCTGGAAGATGGAGGCAGAGGGGAGTAATGCCCAGAGACCCCTGGCTGGGACTGGCTGCCATGTCAAAGCCAGCTGCTCCTCCCTGGCTCAGAACTCATTCCAATTTAAAAAAAAAAAAACAACCAAAATATCCAAAACCCCTGAACAAACAAAAAAACTCCCCAAAACACAAGGAAAGCCAATTTTTCCCCTACAATTTTTTAATATTCCTTTATAGCGGTGCTAATACATGTTGGTTATCTGCGCTATCCACAGATGAAAATATTGTTCTTGTCTCCAAAAGATTGCAATTTAAGGTACAATTGACTGTCTTTAAAACACAGTCTTGTATTTTCAGTGATTATCACTAATAGGTCTTAATACTGATTTATTTATATGCATTCAAATGGTAATAAAATGACATCCCTGCCAAATCTCTGGGCATCCTTCACTTTCAAACAGCAACAGGGAAACAGTTTAATATATTCAGTTTGTACAGAGCTTTGCAAGAGCAGGGTGAAATTGTTTCCTTGCTTATATTCCTATGTAATGTTAGAAAAACGTAACGCGACTTGCAAAGGACAGCCAGGTGGTGTGACTTGTGAACACGAAGCACGACGGTTCCTGGAAGAAATGAATTTTTGGACTGGATTTGTGGGACAGGAAGATCTTTTTGCGGGGTGTGCGTGTTCATGCCAAGCAGAGCAGGTCTCAGCCCACTGCAACGTTTCTGCGGCTCCCGCAGCAATTAGAGGGATAACAACGGTGACAATACAGGTGCGCAGGGAGCAGAGGCGTTCTTGGTGAGACGGCGGGGAGCAAGCAGTTATGAACAGGTTTGCCTTTTCTAGGAGCATTTTCAGGACTGTTAAATTGCTACCAAGGTGGGTGATTTTTTGCATCCCTCGCAGGTAGCGGCTGCAGGCTGAGCTCTGAGGCTCTCTCGCCAATGGGCTGACTTTAGCCAGTGGGCTAGAGAGAAGAGTGATATTTTTTTTTTTTCCCCCCTCTTCCCACAGAAACTAGTTAATGTAAAAGGGAAAAATAAAACCCAAAGCTGTTTGCGTTCTCTGCAGACAACTCTCTGACATCAGTGATGACTGAGGGATCTCTCTGCCAGGCCTGGGGACTGAGAACAGATTTTTGTCACGTGTAATGTCGTGTGTAAGTGACTCTTGCTTGCTGGGTGGCTCCCAGCTAGGAATTGGGAGCGCAGCCAAAAACTGTTGTGTGTTGCATATCTCTGCATCGCAGCACCTGGCATCTCGGTGGGAGGACGCGGCGCGGCCGGGCTCATCTCCCCCCGAATCTGCTCGCCCTGCGGTGTGGGAAGGCGCCTGTGTTTACAGGCACTGGCCCCTGCTTTTCTCAAGGGCTAACGAGCCGGTTGTCAGATGAATTATGGGGATCGATTCCACCTGCTCGTCGGGAAATGGCGCGATGGTGTTTCTGGAAAGGCAGAGAGCGGTGAGGTTTCCGGGCGCTGCGGTCCCTTGTGAGTGGAGCAGCAGAGCATCCCACAAAGCCATCAGCCGAGCCTTTTAAAACCTAAGTGCTCATCATCTCCAAAGAGGTGCATTAACAAGCCCAGGTCTGATACCGCGGGCTCCAAAGCCTGGATTAAGTGTGGAAATGTGAACCTCATTAAAGAGATGCCTCTGTCAGAGGGTAGCAAATTGGAGGAGGAGTTGCTCATGCTTGTTTCTGTTCCAAATCCCCAAAGTGAGCAAACTCCTGGGATTTTTGCTGGAATCAGGAGCCACATGAGAGGCACCAGCTGTTACTTCAGCGTGTTGTGGAGGGAACCGAGTAGAGGTGTCAACAGCAAATGTTGCTATAGCCCTGCTAATCCCTGGGTAGGTCAGTAATAAACTGCAATGAAGAGGGATGCTGGGGACCAAAATATGGCAAAAGGGTTATTCAAGGCCTTTGCCACTCAGCCTGGCAGACTATTTGGAGCTAGGGGAAACATTTCTCTATATGAATGAAAAATGGGTAAATATTAATGGCAGTGCATGTTCCAGTGGATGCCTTACTTGTTTTCCTGTCCCTGCATCCTCCATGCTGTCCTGTTTTGCTGACACAGGATTATTTTTAAGCAGCCACCCTCTGCAGCTGACCCAGCCCAAGTGCCCTGAAGCTGCTCCAGGAGAGGAGGACATCGCATTGGTTTCCCATTTTTCCTTGAGACTGCCCTTTTCTCTCTCTTCCCCAGCCATGGGGGTAGGCACCAGTTCCAGTCTCTCTTTAAAAAAAGAAAACAAAAAAACAACAAAACAAACACCCCCCCCCAAACCAACAAACAAATAAAACCCCCACAAAACCAAACACCCAACTCTAACACTTTGTAGTAGATGTGCATTGTATTTTCAGAGCATTACCTGGCAACGAAAGGCCAGAGATAAAACTGGATTCTCTGTTAAGGCACGGTCACAAATGGTCTGCAAGAACCAGATTTGGTATTTTCTTTTTTGCAGGCTTGTCTCACTAAGCCCTTGTGAAAGCCTGTGGTGACCCATATGGGAGCTGAAGAGAGATGCCCCGCATTAAGGTGTTGAGTCAACAGGAAAATGTCACACACGCGTGTGTGTGTGTATATATATATATCTTGGACCCACAGTGGCAATCTTGTTTTCTTCCTGCAGGCTTTGCTCTATGGAATGATTATTTCTAATTATTGTTAGTGCTGATCTTCTTTTCCCCCTGGTGAATTTGATTTTGTGCAGTTTGCTGCTCCATTACCGTAACGTGTCGCTTTTAAAACCCTTTAATATTTCCCGAATTGCATCTCTGTGTAAATAGGAATATTACTTAGTATACTTATTTACTTTGAAAACCCAGCACTTTAGTTTTCCAAACTGCTCTCTGTTGGTGGTCACAACTTCTCCGGAGGGCTGCAACGCTTCAGGTTTCACAGCTAACCCTGGAAGATGCTGGCCACCCTTCTGGTCATCCCTTGTGGTCCTTAACTATGACAGACTCATCCTCCTTTGCCTTCTCTGGGTCTGAAATGAAACTCAGCAGAGAAAATCTATCCCTGCTGCAGATAATCTGACAGTTGGATGCTTTCCCTGCCATGTGTACCTACGCTCCGGAGCATTGTCCTTTGGGGCAGAAATGCGAAGCTTACAGAGGGGCTGGAGCTCTTGGTCCACCTCGCAGGCTGCTGTGGTGGTACCGCCTTGTGAGGAAGCCAGGGGCTGGCTCCTCATGCAGCTGTGGTCTAACACCTGTATCTGGACCATTTTGGGGCTATCCACAAGCAGCTCTTACTTAGGGCATTGGTGAAGAGCCTGCCTTTTTGCTTTCAAGTTGTAGTGCCGGTATTCAGCACTCAGCTATGCTGTCTGAGGGTGTATCGTTGGCTCACAGCGCTTGAAGTACGCACCGTTCCCAAGCCCTTGCTTTTACCGCACTGGGTTGTTTTGTGGCGTTTCTCATATGTGACATGACTGAACACTGGGGCAAACTATAAATTATGGGCACTTCAGGAATGGCTCTGCTCCATCCTGCCACTAAACCGTCTCTTAGCGGTATAAAAATGATTACACGAGCATAATGTCTTTTACATGCCCATAGTGGCACAAGGAAGCCTGAAATGCAAATTGTATTCATGCAGTGGTGCAAGGAGGATGCAGCAGCACCGACTGCTTGACTGGCGTCAGTCGGTAACTTTTCTCCCTGCTGTTCTTCTGTGCAGGTGATGAGGTGGGAGATTTTCCTTGCGGAGAGGAGCCTCCTGCCAGGCAGTGTGAGAGTGGGACCACCTGCAGGGAGTACTGGCAAGGGCCCAACTACGGCATCACCAACTTTGACAACATCCTCTTTGCTGTGCTCACCGTCTTCCAGTGCATCACCATGGAGGGATGGACCGACATCCTCTACAATGTGAGTCCACTGATGGGGTTGTAGGACTCCTGGGGTGTTGTTATGTGTTGACTTAGTTTGGAAAAGTTTGTTCTGGAAAAAAAGTAATTTAGTTTGTGCGTTTTCCCCCTATTGATTAGCACGTCATCCTGCTTTTTAGGAGGGTTGTTCCTATTTTCTTGAGACTTGTTCTGCAGGTCCTGTAAGAGCCTTTGAACTACTATCGTGGCCCGTGGTGGTTGTTTGAAGCTGTAGACTTACTTACCTGGAACATGATGTCTTGTGTCAGTGTGGTGTCGCCATGGGTAAGAATTGGTGTACCTTGCTCCAAGATGCTGGTGTGCTCTGCTGTAGGAATGGGGGGGTGAGTAGGAACATGTTCTCACAATGTGCCACAGATAATCAGTTACCAAATTGCACAATATAGGGTGGCAAAACCAGTGACTCCATTAATATTTTGTAACTTAAAAGTTTCATCTCTTGACTGGGTCTAGCCTTCGGGATCAAATTCATAATCTACACCAATGAACAGCATCAGCTGGATGTTAGCACCAGGATCCAACACTAGTTTTGGGAACTCCAATACGATCTTACAAAGCCCTGTCAGTCACGTTTACGCCTGCCATGACTCTGTTGGCTCTGGAGAAGATACACCAGGCTGAATTTCCTTGCTAGGGTCTCTGCTGGCTGTGCCTCCTCCCAGCCAGCACCGTGACTGTCACAGCCACTCAAGGTCAAAACCTCTCGGTCAGTTTTACTATTTCCAATTTTACAAAGATTAGAGCAACCTCACCCAATTAGCAACAACTGAACGACTCTGCTGTCTTTCAGGCAGTGTGATTCTCTTGTTTCTGCAATTTATACCTACCCTTTTGAGGTGTCCTGTCTTGAGGCAAGCACCTAACCCTTGCTAACAGGCTGGGAATAGAGCCCTTCAGCTTGTTTCCAGCATCTGTATCATACGTCCTTGCAAATATGTGTGACAGATGCTCTTTGGGAGCTGTAAGGGATCTGTGGATCTGTTGCAGACCTGTTCTCCCCAGCTTTGTGGTTTGCTTAGATCTTCACATGTTCCTACAGTGGGTGTAAAGCGCCATGGTTTGGGTCTGGAGGATGGTCCAGCTGTTTTGTACTTCCATTCTCTATGGTAGTAAAGGACTTTATCAAGTACAGGGGCAGGAAGGAGAGAGCGAGTGGTGATGATTAACAATGTATGGCTACACTGGCTGTTTCTTTCCATTGACTGTAGAAGGAAGGACAATCTGACAGCCGTGCATATATGATCTGTCCTAGCAAGAAGTGCCAATGTGGAAAAATAACTAAGGTAGGCATTAATAATGCCTCCAGACCATTTCACTGGCCCGTAGGACTACAAAGTGTTCAGTTTCCTTCATTAGAGACTCTAGACCCATGCTGGGCTCTTTTGCAGACCTTCCTGTGAGGGTTTCTGTAGCAACAGGAAAGTATTATTAATATCAACCACAGTAAATTGCAAGGTACAATTCTGCTGTGTTTGAAGCCAATATATCTGTTTTATTACCTTATCCATTCATTGCTCAATTCCTCCATTACTTCCTAGTCTCTGCCCACTTAGAACGATCTCTAGAAGGGCCCATTTTCCCACTCATGCCCTCCCCTCACCCTGAAACTTCGTCACACAACCAGTTTCTCCCATTTTCATTCAGCAATCCTGCTCCGTCCTTCTAGTGCCAACTGTTGTAAGAAAAGCCCATTAGCATCCTGGCGGAATTGATTAATCAATATGTAGTGTATTAGATCATCTTTTCCCAAACTGCCTTTTGTACTGCATGCAAAAACCAGAACTAACTATTGGGGAATTGATTTCGGGGGTTGCTTTGAAAACTATTATAGTATCATTCTAGATGGCCATTAATCTAATTGGAAGCAGACATCTGGATGAGATGCAGTTGAGTATTTGTTGTGTAATGTCAAGCCTTGTCTGAGACCCCAGCTCAGTTTTAATGCTTGGTGGGTTCATGTCTCTGATAGATATGAGGGTCTGTGGGTGGTTTGCTTGTTGGGTGGAGAGCGAGTGGTGTGTGTCGTGCCACAGGACCACTCAGCAGACGGTGTTCGTGTAAGTAGTGCCAGCAGCCATCTCTGCCCCCTCTCCCTTGGCCCTGCCCTGCATGCTGTGTCACCCCTCCCCGTGCTGTTCTGCTTGCTGAGGAGATGGCTGTGCTTTTGTAGGTTAGGAGCTGAGAAAAGGTGTGGGTGGAGATGATCCACTCTGTGCAGCCCTTAACTTTTTCACAGTTTCAGTCATCTGCCGTTTTCTGGCCGTTTGGCTTTCGTCTTGGTTTCTTCTGTGCCTACTCTAAGTTCATCAAATTTAAAAATGAAACAAAAGCGCAAACTACACTGCAGCAGTGACTGGAAGCCCAGCATGGTGGGTGTTTGCAGATGCAGTTGTCAGACTGTGCAGAGGTAACAGAGATGCAACCAGCCTGTCCATCCAGCACCAGTCAGTTTGGTAACCGCACAGTAATGCTGCCTGAATCAGCTGGATCCCTACTGGACCCATGCTGGGTTCATATGGGAAGAAGCTAGAAGATGTTGCCTCTTGCATCCAGAACTTGAACAGTGGGGTAAGCAAACATATCTCCTCCTCCATGGTTTGTGGAGGACAGGAAGTAAGCCAGCGTATTTAGGCTCAGGCAGCAGGTGAGTGTCAGAGGTCACCACTTGTTCAGGGAGCTTTGATTCACCATTTGGGCTCTCCGTTGCTGAGGAGAACGTTCTGGGCCAGGAGGATTTTGCAATGGTGGAGCTAGTTTCCTTGCCAGCCCCAGCCTCTGGTCTCCTCAAGGAAACCAGTGTTCCCCTGATGCAGGATACTCATCAGAACCGAGCTGTGAACCTACTTTCAATGTTTTTCCTAATTAAGATTTGCAAAAGGCTGTGGGACCACAAGAGGAAAGGTGCACTGTATGTAAACTGTGATTATGCATTAGTAAGAAAAAAGGCTGGTGCTTTTTTTCCCACTAACTAATTAGAAAGCAGGGAAGGCTGCTGTTCCTTCACCCCTCCCTTTGTGCGCCTATTGCCACCTGTTGGGTTTGGTTGGGGTAAGTTTGTTGCCTTGCTTGTGCAAACCCTCTGCCTTCCTGCTGTTAAAGCAGACAGCCTCAAGTGAGGTCCCTTCTTAGGGCTGAAATGTCTTTGATGCCAGGCAGTCTAGGACCAAGACCCATTACGGGGAAGCTGAGGTTAAGACTGCTTCCTTAGTGGGCCATTCATTTCCTTCTGAAAAATGGTGATTGATTGATTGCTCCGCATCAACAGAGCTTTGTTATTGCTCCTCTTTTCCTGCTACTGCATTTGCTGTGGGGTGTTCAGAAGAGTTAGGGTTTTTAGTTTGCAGTGGTGATGACTGGGGTCAGTCACAGGGTGAGACCTGCTTTACTGGTTCAACATTAATTTAACCAAGGGAGAGAGTTTGCTGTGTCCCGAAAGCTGCTTTGGTCTGCGGTGGCATCAGGCAAGCTGAAGAGTTTGGTGTAAAGGGAGGTTCAGGAAACGAGGAGCTTGGGCTTGAGTTTGATGGTTTGGCTCAGGTCTTTCCAAAGCGAGAGGTTTGTTGTGATGGGCTATTCAGTCACTTCCAAAAGATTGAGATGACTTTATATGTGGTCCAGATGCAGCCTTCCTACAGAGTTAAATAGCATCAAAGGCTAGGCTTTGCAGTAAGTAATCTACCTTGCAAATATTCTCTGCTCCTCCTGTGATAAATTGAGGAGTTAGGAGGGCAGGGGGAATGCAAGTTCACAAATCTCAGCCCAATTTTTCCTTGCTGATCCACTGTTTATACTTCCACAGAGTTTCATTTTAATTAGGGCCAATGAAAGCTTTCTAGCAAGACTTTATCTGGAAGGTGATTTATGCTTGAAGCAAAAAGACTGACTCATCAATTGGGTGAAATGCTTTAAGAATAAGCTGGGGAAAACTCCTTCCTGAATCAGCAGCACAACAGCATCAGAGCAATTGCTCCAAACAAGCACTTCTGTGAGCTGCAGATTTGTCAGCTGTGGCCTGTTTCTGCTCGGAAAAGTCCAAGGAGCAACAGGTCATTTAGGGAAGCTGCTGTGTCCTGAGGACATGTGTTGCTTTTGCGTGGCAAGGTTTTGGT